ACACACACACACACACACACACACACACACACACACACACACACACACACACACACACACATATATATATATATATATATATATATTTTACATACCTGGGGAATTCACAGTGAACAAAACAGATGAGACCTTTGCTCTAGAAAGCGTAGACTCTAACAGATAGAAACTACAATACTTAGCTCTTTTCAAGTCACAAAGAATGGGCTGGGCGTGTCACTTTGCAGGAGAGCACTAGAGAAAGTCCCCTGAACAACTAACCCCTCATTCCCTCACAGCTCTCATCTTAAAGTTTACTCAACCTCAGTCAGAGCTTTCTACTGATTCTGCTTCCTCAGCAAAAGAAACCTGACAGGAAAGCTAAAGATCTGTTTTGTGAAACTCCTAGGCCCTTTGACAGTCAAGTTAGACCCGGAGAACTCTACAATTACAATCCTGTGTGTGAGGTGTGTGTTCACCAACATGTATGTGTGTGTGTGTGTGAGAGAGAGAGAGAGAGACAGACAGAGAGACAGAGAGACAGAGAGACAGAGAGTATATGTGTGTGATTTTTTTTTCAGCCAGCACCACCTTTTCAGTAAACCTATGCAATAAAACTTCAGATTCTTCTCCTGTCCTTCTTAGCTATAGGACGGCAGATCTGGAAGGGCAATAATTGTGTGTTACACAGTTCTGCATAGTAAGAAGGATTTGGGTTGGCAAATGGAAAATGGGAGAATGATGCTCAGGAAGTAGGGAAAGAGAAGAAATCAGAGCCAACAGGCTCTAGGAACCTGGAATTCTCCTTTGACAATAGCCAAAATTAATCTGGTGGGGTAGGAGTGACAGGACAGGGTCTCAATATGCAGCTCTGCCTGGCCTGGAACTCAATATGTAAACCAGGCTGGCCCTGCCTTCCAAGCGCTGGGGTTTTGTAATTTTTAAAGACAGGATTTCACTTTGCACCCAATGGTGGCCTCAAACTCACGGTAATCTTCTTGAGTCAGCGTGTCTGGAATGACAAGATTACAGATGTGTGTCTCCATTCCCAGCTCCAAAATGCACTTCAGACACCGCTGTTCCATGTTAACACCTCAGCTACCACCTCCCCTTCCCCCCAAATTTGCTTTTCCTGTCCCCAGGTCTCACACAGAGCTTACCACACACAAAAAAAGGCTTAATGCAAGCTCTTTTCCTTTCTCTCCTCTTTCCAGGCCTCTCTTGGCAATGTCTATCCCAACACGCACAGCGACAAGCCAATCATGCATGTAGCTCCTCACAAGGTTGATCCTGAGCTGAACTTCCTTTCACTTCCCTTTCTCTCACTTTACCAGGTGTTTGAAACTGTTCCTTCTCAAGCCTCTAACATTCCACTATCTCACTAATATTGTCATTAAAGGAACAACTAATATTTATCTAGCACTTGGGCTGCACCATAGACTGTGTCAAGGGCATTACATGCATAATTTCACTTGATCCTCAAACCTTACTAAACTGGTACTGTGACTATTTCCTTCATGGTAGGGAATCAAAACTCAGATGGAATAGTAATTCTAAAGTCATCTGAAAGAACCTGACCCTCTTCAGCTTCCAGGAGCAGCTAAATTCATCCACACCCATGCCCCATTAAAAAAAATAAATAAATAAAAAAAATAAAAAAAGGAGGAACCACAGGGTGTAGTGGCACACATCTTTCATCCTAGCACTCGGGAAGCAGAGGCAGGCAGATCTTTGTCTGGTCTACAAAGTGAGTTCCTGGGCAAGTTAGAGCTACACAGTGAAACCCAGTCTTAAAAACAAACAAAAAGCCAGGAATCATCTTTCATTGATGCTATCTAGTCACTCATCTAGTAGCCCTACGTCCTGAATGCCACACCAGCTTTCTTCAGACTGACAACCAGCACCGGCTAAGTTCGTACTGATCACCAAGCACTAATCTAAGCCATAGCCATGTTTGTTTTTTTATTTTTTCAAGTTTCCAAATCCTACCAGACAAAGATGCTAAAGAACAAAGAGACTGTCCAGAGGGTGACAAAATCTTTCTCAAGGCCAGATTATATGCACAGAGACTACATAGTAGAGCCCCCCAGTCTGTCTCTCACCTCTCATCTGGACCACCACCATCCTCCAGCCAGCTGCAGTTATCTTTATGGAATTTTCCTGCCTGAAATTAATACCTCGATATCACGAACTGGATGAAGTCCAAATGCCTTAATGTGATATACAAAATCCTTTCTTTTGATCATTTCAACAAATATCTGAGTACGCCCTGTGGAAAGTGCCATGAACCCTAAGATGAACAACAAATCAGCCCTGACCATTACTTCAACCCCAAACATTGTGCTCTTCAGACTAGCCATGTGCACAGCAGATAATGTCACATTCCATAGACATAAGCATTTGGGATGCTCCTGGAGAAAGCCCATACCAATTTGAAGATTGCCTGTGGTTTCTCTGATGCATTCTAGGCAGAAATGCTTCCAAGTTCCCACATCACTTTGTCCAAAATACCCTGAGGTAATTAGAGGACCAAGAAGTATATGGACCCTTAGCAACTTTAGGCAAGAAATGATCCTGTTCTTTCCACCAGGGAACAATGTAGATACCAGATGTAAATCCAATGAAAAGTTTCAGACTTGAGGAACAAAATACAGAATTAGAATTGAGCAGTGGACTGAAAACAAAGCAATGTGATTCTAGTGCTGTTCTGACTTGGCCTACATTTGACTCCTATGGGAAAACTCATGTGGAATTTGGACAGGCTAAAGTGGCAAAACACTGTTAGTTAGCTCAACAAGGATCCAACAGCTAACTAGGACACTAGATTCCCCTCCACTTTCCTTCTTTACCTGTCAAAGTCCTTTTCTCCAAAGGTGTGGGGGAGGGTGTTCAAATCTACCAAAGCAAACAGAATTGACCTCCTGAGATCCAACTTCATCTGTGCTGTGTCACTGTACAGGCTAGAGAAAAAGCAAAATGTGTCCTGGGAAGGAGGCCAATTTCTAAGTACTGTGACTACAAGAATGTGACATTCTTAAAGTGAAGGCAGTTTGGATCAACTAGAGCTCACAGATTCCTCCAATTGTCCTTGCCATTGGTTTCTGCGTTTTTTTTTTTTTTTTTTTTTTTTTTTTTTTTTTTTTTTTTAAGAAAAATTGGCGGGGTGTAGGGGCGCATGTCTTTCTAACACCACAGCACTCAGGAGGCAGAGGGAGGCGGATCCTGTGAGTTCCAGGCCAGACAGGGCTCTACAGTGAGAAAAGAAAAATTAATTCGATAAAGCCATGCGGAAGCGTCCTTAGGCTTCTGGCAAACACACAATCTTAAACGTAAACGGGAATACTCCAATACTCCATTTAAAAAGTCCTTGTGTGAAACGTGGCAGAAAGCTTTGGAAAGCCAGAAATGTTTCCCAAGCGGTGCTTTTGTGCGCAAATGCTTCCAAACTGAGATGCATATTTTGGAAATGATCCTCCCCTTCCCCCAAACACGTCAAATCTGTCTCTAGCCTGAAGGGAAAGGTGAGAATTCTCCCGCAACAGGCTGGGGCGGGGAGAAGGATCTCTGCTCATCTCTTCCAGGGAACAAAACCAGAGGGCAGCCAGCTAGCGCTGCTTTAGCTCCCGACAACGTGCAGACGCGAAGTGCAAGAACTCGTCCCCAGAGCTCCCCGTTTTAAAAAGCGAGCGTCGCGCAGACCCGCAGCGCGGCGCCGGGAACCCGCACCCGCACCGGGCCGGGCCGGACTCCACGCGGCCCCCGGCGGTTCCCCTTACCCCAGCGCCACACCCTGTCACCGCCCGCACCTGAGGCGAAGTAACTCACTCAGGGAAAGCGGCGGGCTCCTCGCAGGAGCGCTGACGAGGACGCCGCCCGGCTCCACTCCGCCGGGACTCACCGCCGCCGATTTCCTGGCGAGAAGCAAAGTCCGGCCAAGACTTCACTTCTCAACCGCCCCTGCTGCCTTTCCCCTCGGGGGCGAGCGCAGGGGCCCAACCCGACACGCACCTGAGCCAATCAGCGGCGGAGAAAGGCGGGACTAAGAGCGGGCTCTGAGTCTTTCGGCCAATCAAGGAGCTCGAGGGGCCAGACCGGCCCTGCTCATCACTCCCGAGTTAGAGTGAGCACGCTCCGCCCTCCGCCATCGCTCCCGGCCGGATTCTCTCAGACACACACAGAGAAGACGCTCGGGAAGTGTCTGCTTGCACCCCGGAGCGCCGCGCCGGCCGTGGGACAGCTGAAGGGAGGGGAGGGCTGCGGGACCAGGCTGAGGGAGAACAGGTGGTGCGGGGTGGCTGACGTGTAGGTGTGCGCTAGAGGACAGCTGGGGTGGGGCGGGGACCCAGCCTGGCCAGGGTCAGGTGGGAACTGGGAGGATGCACCTGAGGGGAAGAGAAGGGCGGCTCCTTGGGATCAAAGGGGAAAGGAACCGCAGGTCCACAGTGGGTAAACCCGAGCTCCTGGGGAAGGAGGGCGGTGCTCCAAACTCATACTTCTCTCCGAAAAGAAAGACAAACGCTGCCTTGCACCTGATGGAGATGTGCATTTGCACCCCAGGGAGAAAAATGCTCCCTGTAAACCTCAGTATGGTCAGAAGAGTCATCTCTGCACACAAGTCTCTCTGCTTTTTCAAGGTTGCAAGGTGCCCTACGAAAGGCTCCAAAGGACTCCAGTCCGGGGGGGGGAAGACAGTCCCGGGGCAGTACCGTCCCTGGTGGGTCTAGCAGATGAGAGGTTCAACTCCGACCCTAAACAGCAGTGTCTGGGGGCGACAGGCGAGGGACTGCTTGCACCGTAGCCTCCTAGCTTCCGCAGTTCCAGGTGAGCGGTCCGGCCCGCACGGGGCGTGGCTGGGGCGTGTTCTGTTTTCGCCCCGCCCCTCCATCGGGTCCTGCCGCGCCGCTGCGGCTCCGCCCCCCTCCTTCCGTCATCCGCTTCTTCCGTCGGTGGTTTCTTCCTTCCTGCTTCGCCCGCATCTTTCGCGATATGGGGAAGAGCGTCCTTTTCGGCAGCACCACCTGAGGATTTCCTGGAGCCGCCCCTCGCGATGGAAGAGGATCAGGAGCTGGAGAGGTAAGGTAGGAGGGGAAGAGTGGAGGGGGCGGCGGGCCGGGCCAGCGAAGCGGGTAGCGACCGGGCACGCGGCCGACTGCGGCCCGGCGGGGCGGCTAGGCCTGACCCGAGGCGCTGGGCAAGGGAAGATCGAGAGTAGAGCCGAGCGGGTTGGGAAGAGGGAGGAGAAGCGGTGGTGGGTTTGTTTATACAGAAAAGCTCAGAGGGACACTAGCCATCCTGGAGGGGAGAGAAGTTGGGAATCCAGCTCTAAGTGCCAAACTGCCATCCCCATTAGAACTGCCTCGTGTAAGGTCACGCACCGGGCGGTGCTGGCATGTTAAGTCGGCTAAAGTTACTGCAACTCCGCTCTGCAGACTGCTCGTAAATTCTTTCTGACCGCCAAATTCTTCCTCCTATTAAACTTTTCACTTCCTTTGACTTACTAGTTTCCTTACCTCTTTCAAAGGGAAGCCATAACTGAGCCTGCCACCTTAATAACTTGTGGTTGCCATTTTTATGCTAAAGTAATCGTGTTTTTTATGCCTGTCAACTCCCATTTCATCTTTCAGCAGGGCCTACCCTATTATAACTCTGCCCCTTTCTTTTTCTCTATTCAAAGAAAGATTTTGCAAACATTTGTGTTTATTTTCTGAGATGACTCCCCTTGTGGGCAATATATCAAATGGAGTAGAGAGAAACTCGAGTTAAATATTTATGTATAGAAGTATCGGAGGCAGGAAACTGAGGTGGTGAATCTTAAAAAGCTTAATCACAAAATGGTATCCCATATGATCTCATTCTTACAAAAAAATATGTGTGTAGAAAAATGTCAGGATTGAAGACCTCAATGGCCGAAGGCGAGAGGAAGACAGCCTTGGAAATGGTCCAGGCAGCTGGAACAGATAGACAGTGTGTGACATTTGTACTGCACGAGGAGGACCATACCCTAGGAAATTCTCTTCGGTACATGATCATGAAGAACCCGGAAGTGGAATTTTGTGGTTACACTACGACCCATCCTTCAGAGAGCAAAATTAATTTGCGAATTCAGACACGGGGTACCCTTCCAGCTGTTGAACCGTTTCAGAAAGGCCTGAATGAGCTCATGAATGTCTGCCAACATGTGCTTGACAAGTTTGAGGCCAGCATAAAGGATTATAAGGATCAAAAGGCAAGCAGAAATGAACCCACTTTCTAGTCCCTCGTGCAGGGTACAAGGAGGATCACCCTCATGATGGTGCAGATCCCAAAGCTAGAGTTTGTGATTGAAGCATGTTCTGTCTTATAGGAAGGTGTGGTTCCAGCTGTTGACCCATTACAGCTGTTGGAATCTCTGCAAGTATATTTGCCTAATAAATTCTCTCTTTTGTTTAAACTAGTTTGAGTGGTTTCTCTTCCTTGTACCTAGGTGATCCCCAAGGATGGTGCCACCCCTTACTTGGACCAACACAGAAAGTGAACGGATAATTGGGCCAATTTGAGGGTTTTGATCATGGATTTTTGTTTGTTTGTTTGTCTGTTTTGTTTTTGTTTTTTTCGAGACAGGGTTTCTCTGTGTAGCTTTGGAGCCTATCCTGGCACTCCCTCTGGAGACCAGGCTGGCCTCGAACTCACAGAGATCCGCCTGCCTCTGCCTCCTGAGTGCTGGGATTAAAGGCGTGCGCCACCAATGCCCGGCTTGATCATGGATATTAAAAGGGCTATTCATTTCTGTATGATTGGAGTGCTGAGGAAGGGGAGATGGAATAAAACATAAACCGTAGACTGTATTTAAAAAGGCAGGAAAAGATTGGCAGAGGGACTTGAGTTTTTTTTTAACCATTTACTTTGTGTGTGTGTGTGTACCAGCATGCCATGACACAGGTGGAAGTCGGGGGACAACTTGTGGGAGTTGATTCTCTCCATCATATGGGATCCATTTAGAGTTTGTCAGGCTTGGTGGCAAGCATCTTTACCCACTGAGCCATCTTGCCAGCCCTGGATTTTTATTAATGTAAATGCATCCTTTCATATGATTGGTAGACCTAGTAAGGATGAGGATAATTAGAAGGACTCTTGAGAATTTTAACTTTTCATGAGAATTTTTTGTTGTTGCTTTCTTCATGAGAATTTGAATTGGCATCAAGGTCCATCTTTGTAGTATTTGTAGGATAGATAACCAGTTTACTGCTTGAGTTCCAGAGCACTCATGAAATATAGAATTATGATGAGTAAACCGAATACTTTTTTATTGTTTTGTGTGGGCATGTTCGTGTGGACACTTGTATGCATATGGAGGCCAGAGATCAGCCTTAAGGATGGTTGGTTCATCAGGAACCACCTACTTATTGTTTGTTTTGAGACAATCTGGCTGGCTTGGAACTCACTTTGTAAACTCAAAGATTTACTTGCCCCTGCCTTAATAATCTCCCACATGCTGGGATGAAGGGAGTTTGTTAATTAACTAGGCTACCTGACTAGAAAGCCCTAGGGGCCCCACCTGTGTCTGTCTCCTGAGCACCGGGGATTACAGACCTACACATCATCCTACCCAACTCTTTTATATGGGTTCTAGAGACTGAACTCCATCCTTGTGTTTTCACAGCAAGTTTTTTACCACCTGAGTTGTTTCCCTGGCCCCAATTTTAATGGAAAAAAATGACTTATCAGGTAACATCTTCATTCCTTAGGTAGGTATGTAAATAGAGCCCAGGGTTAGGTAGAAGAGATACTATTTGATAGAAAGTCAGAATTTGGAGGAGGAGAATTCTGTATGGAAGAAATGACATTTTGGAAACTTAAAAGATTAGCAAAGCATATCACATTCAAGAATCATGTGTTTATCTCTTCTTCAGTCTGTCTTGTAAGTATCCTACCCAAGTGTGACTTAATTTGCCCTAAATATCTGTCAGCTCTTGAGTCCAGTCCCCCTATTCTCTAGAGCTTTGTGCTTTGGGGTCTTTGTTGATGCTAGTCTTCAGTGAAAACTTCTTTATCTGCTAGGGATGATGGTGCAGTCTATAGTCTTGGCATTGAAGAGATAGAAGCAGGAGAATTTGAAGACCAGACTAAATATACATAGCAAGAACTTGCCTTAGAAAAACATCATCTATGTACTTGGGATATGGAAAGTTTTCGTTAAATTTGGTCTTTTACCCTGCCAAGAGTCTATATTTACTCCACTTGGCCCACTTTTTTAAAAGATAGTTTTGTACTCACTGACTGCCTGCATTGTATCAGGCCTTGAGAACAGATAACAACAGTAGGAACTTTGTTTTTCGAGACAAGATTTCTCTGTGTATTCCTGGTTATCTTGGAACTCTTTCTGTAGACCAGGCTGGCCTCAAACTTGGAGATCCACTTGCTTCTGCCTCCTAAGTGCTGGGTTTACAGGAGTGCACCACCACACCCAAGTCTTAATTCTCTGGATGGGGGGATGAGGGTGGGAGAGCTGGAGTGATATGTTACTTTGTTTGCAGTGTGGGATGATGGGGTAGATGTAGCAAAACCAGACTGGAAGCAGAGATAATCTCTTAAGAGTCAAGGTAGCCCAGAACAGCATTAAGCTAACAACAGGGAGAAAGGTGAAGTCCTCAGGAATGGGATGTAAAAGTCAAAGAAATAGATGACTCCAACTTCCACCTAGGATTAGGGCTAGTTACTAACAGGAGGAGCTTAAAAGAAGTCAGATGTCCTGTTTTGAATATTGTAGGCATGAGTTGAGGGCCACAGAAGAGATCTAAGCTGAAAATAAACTTTGTGAATCCTAATCATGAAACTGTAAGGCAACAGAGGCTGGAAAATGACAAAGATGGGGCCCAAAAACTGAGCCTTGGACAACCTCACTGGTAGACTGTGGCTAAAAGAATAACTGATGAGATAGTAAGTTCTTCAGAAAGTGGAGCTGTGGAAGCCAGGAAAAGTGATATTGAGTAAGTCAGCTGAGTAATTGGGGGGAAAAAGTCTGTTGGTGTTATCCCAGAAGCCACTAGGCTGTGGGTGACACTCATTTGGAGGTCTAAGGAAAGGAATTTGCCAAGGAATGGCTTGGTTTGAGTTTTCCAAAGATAAAATAGTCACAGCGGTTAGAAGAGTATATTTAGGTGGCAGCAGGGGTGATGAAAGTTCAGAGTCATGGCACAAAGATAAAGAGTATTCTAGGGTGATGAAGATCCTAGAAAACCCATCTCATTAAGGAATCTTGGAAGATGTAAGAAAGCTCAGTTAGTACAATCAGAAAGTGTGCTGGGCGTGGTGGCACACTCCTTTAATCCCAGCGCTTGGGAAGCAGAGGCAGGCAGATCTCTCTCAGTTCGAGGCCAGCCTGGTCTACAGAGTGAGTGCCAGAATAGGCTCCAAGACTACATAGAGAAACTCTGTCTCAAAAAACCAAAACCAACCAAACAAAAAGAACATCTGAACTTTCAAACAGAAAGTATATCCACTAGTGACCACCACATCTCATCTGTCACCAGCCCTGTCTTAACTGTCACCGACCGTGTGGCAAGCAGTCAGAATCTGTTTAGGGTGGCCATAAGCAGATGAGTGAAGGGAGAAAAGAGGATAATCAGAAGTCCCATGTGTGTGGAAGGAATTGTTGCCTGGAGTGTGTAGGCACTGGAGGAGGGCTGAGGGAACTGTGCGTGGAGGTGCACACCTTTAGTGCCTGTAGGCAGAGGCAGGTGGTACTGAGTTTGAGGGCAGCCTGGTCTACATAGTGAGTTACAGGCCAAGGCCATGTAATAAAGGACAGGAAAAAGAATGTGGGAGACAGATTTAGACTTGGATCACTTATTTATATAAATGGGGTGGGGGACCTCACTATCTTACCTGTTTTGTAATAACATTGCACTCAAACCACTGTAGTGTTACTGATTCAAGATCAGAATTTCTGCTCAGCTGTAAAATCCTGTGCCCTCTAAAGAGCCAATCATTAAATAATATGCCTACATACCAAAGGCTTTTAATATCTAATAATTCTGAGTATTTGCCTTAGCACTTGCCATTTTCAAAGCACTTTACAAACTAGTTCTAAATTA